GAGCTGGCCCGGCGGCGGGGCAGCCGCTCGGCTGTGCGCGCGGTGTGCGCGGCGGGTCGTCGTGGCGCTGGCTTGTCGCGCGTCCCGAGACTCGGGGCCGACGTGCGTGTGTCGGTGGACACCTTTGTCTTCGGACGCTAGGCTGCTGTCCGGGGGGAAAAGGGTAGAAGCTGCCGAGAAGGAAACTCGCTTTAAGCGGGGCTGTTGGCGTCCCGCGTGTCCGGGGCGCTGTCTCGTTTCCCCGTGGGGGAGGGGTGGGTGCCGAGGTTTCGGGAGTTGGAGGGTCCCGCAGGCGGTGCTGCCGATCTTTTCCTGATGCGGAGCTTTGAGCGAGCCCTCCTTCCGCCCCGGGGCTGACCCCCGGGGCGGGGCGCGGCGGCTCGGATGCCTGGAGGGTCACGTGTCCCGGCGCCTCGGGTTTGAAATGATCGGTTTCGGGCTGAGTCGAATCCAGGCCTGGAGGAGAAGCGCTGCAGCGCGAGGAACGCGGTCTGCTCGTGGCCCGCCTTCCGTGGGGGCCCGGCCGCACCTCCCCGGGGAAGCCCCCCGAGCAGGGGGCTGTGGCCGCTGTGGCCTTGCGCGTGGAAGGCTCGCACGTTCTCCGCAGAAGGGCCGTCTTGGGGAAACGCTTCCTGTGTGTGGGGCCCTCCCGGGGAGTAGGAAGCCGGAGCCGCTCCGGGTTAGCGGCCGCGGAGCTGCGTGCCTTTCATTCTTTTGGGTTTTCTGGGAAGCTTTTTCTTGGCTCGGAGATTTTTAAAAAATATGTTGATAGCAGGCTGTGGGCTTTTTTTTTTTCCTTTTTTCTAAATATCGGGGAGGTAAAGGCCCTGCTGTGAAGGAATAGGAACTGGAGAGAACGGGCAGGTGAGGACTTCGGACCCCAGGAGCACAGCCGTGCTTTGGCGCCAGGACACCCCAGGGTTTGTGTCCTGCAAGCTTGGCTCCCCGAGGGCGGGAGGGCCGGAACCAGGAGCTCTCAGAACCACAGAGGGAAATCGTGCAGGAAGCTGGTCTGTCCAGGTCGGGAGTGCAGGTGGTGGTCCCAGGGCCTCCCGGCCTGTCCGAGACAGCCTTCCCGGGCCAGGCAAGGGGCCGTCGTGTGACAACTCGGGTGGCTCTGTCCACGGGGCAGCCAGGCCTCAGCACGGGGGTGACTAAACCCCCTTCTGGACTGACGCTCCCTGAGTTGGCTAGGACCTGGTCCGTTTGCAGCTGCCACACCAATGCCCTTGGACGGCACTAAGCTGAGGCGTGCAGAGCTGTGGGAACCCTCCAGTAGACACGTTTTCTTCCCGCCTTCCGTCCAGCCCGCCTGAGGCGGGGAGAAAGTCCAGTCACGCGGAGCCGGGTTGAAGAGTAACCTGTGTTAATTTTATCAGATCCCTTCGGCGAGCTACCCCCCACCTCCCAGGAACCTTCCATCCTCCCAGTGTTGCGTCCAGAGCTCTGACCCCAGGGCCTCTGAGCCCACCTTTCACTGGTCTCCTTTCCTGTTGGAGAATGTTCCCAAAGTGCTTCCACTTCTTGTCAAACAGACCACAATACTTGAACCTCAACTCAAGGGTACCTCCTGGGGTTTTTGAAGGGCGTGTCTTTGTTTTGGGCGGGTCCGGAGGCGGGACCTGGGGTCCTGCTGGGAGGGAGGGGAGCTGGAAGACAATGGTGGCTCCTTTTCAAGTTGAGGTTACAGGGACGACGCTCACTTCCCTGCCTTCAGCGGTCTAGTTAGCAGAGGGCTTCAAGGTGGGGGGTGTTGTGCAGCCAGAGGCCAAGCTGGTGGCCATGGGGCGACCTCCCAGCATTCTGGTGGCAGCGGCTGTGGGCTCTCTGGACCCCGGGGACAGGGACCAGGGGACGGCCTCTCCTGCCCAGCCTTTCCTACTGAGGTGGGCAGCACACTTGGCTAACTGTTGTCCTTTTTCTCTCTCTACAGCATTGTCCCAGATATAGCAGTTGGTACGAAGGTAGGCACTTTGGCTTGACTTCCTCGTTACACTTGCTCAGCCTGAGTTTGCGCTGACCGCGTGGGCCCGTCCGCTCACCCTGCAGAGCGCCGGCACCGCCTCTCCCCCCAGTGCCCCAGCGCTGTCCCAGTTGCAGGCCCTTCCCTCTGCCCAGCGGCATCACGTCCACCCCAGGCTGTGCGTTTCGGGCCTTGTGGGCCCACTGGCCCCTCAGCAGCAAATGCACCTTTGGCCTTAGTTTAGGTCCCTGCTCCCTGCCCTGAAATGGAGAGCTGGCAAGAGGCCTGCTTTTACCCACTCACGGTTGAAGCAGGCTGTGCAGTGGGGCTGACGGGGACGTCTGCCTGTGGAGGTTTTGAGCGCCCCTGGCTTGGTGGGGGCCAAGTCAAAATGTGGTTATGCCCCCAAGCAGTTTGTGGGGTGGGTGCTGGGACTGGAGGACACACGGGCTTTCTGAGGCAGTTGGGGCTACGTTGATGGTGTCGTGGTGTGGATGGTTTTTGTTAAGCATCCCGTAACCTTTTTGAACTAAGGGGAAAGGAGAGGTCTGTATCCTGTCTGTGTCTGAGCAGTAAGAAGGGCAAACGTTGGAGCACAGAGTTGGCGGGGGTGCTCTCTCCCCACAGGAAGTGGGGCCAAGGTGGTTCTGCCCCTAGTTGAGGATCAGGCCTGCGTGTGCCCAGGAATGTGACCTCCAGGGGAATCCTTGGGCTGATTGCAAGCACTGTTGGTTAGCCGGTTACCAGCTCTGTGTCCTGGCAGTGGCTGGGAGCCGGGGGAGTCCTCCCTCCCTGGCCGTGGTTCCTGAGCTCCCTGCAGGTGGCTCAAGTGACCTGAGCAGGCAGCCAGATGGTTTCTGGTCAGTCGGCCATGGTGCCTGGGCTGGGTTTCACTTTTCCCAAGTGGGTTTTTGTCTTCACACGCAGCTTGTGCTGATCTTCCTGCAGATAAAACCTGTTTGTTTGGTGGCAGGAGGGGGCGAGGGACTTTCACCTGGAGCATTTGTAACAATCACAGAAAATGTCTGGATTGCGAGTAATCCTCCCCCTTTCTGTGGGAGCCGCTCTCCAGCTGGAGCAGGTCTTCAGTGGCTGTCCTTGGAATGGCCCCCTTTTGGCCATCCTGTTCCCAAGGGACCCTTGCTTCCAGAATCAAACCTGCATGGACAGAAAGCCTGGGGGCACCCTCTCCTATCCTGCAGGGCTGAGGCTCCCCGCTAGCCGTCCCCCCTGAACCTGCACACGGCCTGTGGAGGATCAGGACTAGCTGTGCAGGAAGGGAGGGCCGTCAAGGTTCTTAGATGCCGATGGAAGAAGAGAAGGTCCCCCCACTGCTGTTGACGGCAGAGCTGCCCTGAGCTGAGCAGCAAGGACACGCTTGAGGGTTCTTTTCCTGTTGATACTAAATGGACTCCAGGGTATGTGCCCGTGGGGCCTCCCCAAGTGCTGGCTGGGAAGAGCTCCTGGCCTGGCCCAGCTGTGCACAGGGTTCTGCCCTGCAAAATGTCGGTGCCCTTGCAGGCAGCCGCCCTTGAGTCCCTTGGTGTCCCTGTGCTGAAGAGTGCTCTTGAGCACCCCAGGCCTGTGTCATGGGAGTGGGAGCTGACAAGTGGGCACTTTGGTCCTCAGAGACATTGTTGGGGGGGGGGGTTGGTGGCCACGAAAGCTGCCACTCGTGGAAGTCGCAGCCCCACCCATCCCTAGTCAAAGGCTGGGGCCCAGAAGCCCTTTTTAAGGCTGCATGGCCAGCAGATGCGGGGATCCTTTGCGAGCCTGTGGGGGCAGTTCAGGGCCCAAGTCCAGAGACAGAAGGGGCTTTGCTGTGGCTCAGGCAGGTGGGATCTGGACGTGCCTCCCCTTGGTGTGTGTTCTAAATGCTTGGGGTCTCGGGTGTGGGCTTTATTGGAAGCCTTGAAGCACAGCCTGCGATTGGTTGGTTTTTAATGTCTTGCTTTATCGTGTCAGACTTGGGCCTGGGACCAAGTCTCACTGTTCGGCCCTCTTTCTGAGCCGTGGTGCCGACACGTGGGCACTCGCTTCTGCGTCAGTGGTAGCCTAGGGCCCGTGGACTCCACAGAGTTGTGGGCTGGGGGGACCTCTGCAGGTGCCAGCCCATCCTGGGCTTGGGTTTGGGGACAAGCCCAAGGTAGCTATCTCAGCCGTGTGGGGCAGCCATTCCTGGTCCTTATCCAAAGGGCGGTTGGTGAACCTCTCGGGGTTCCCTCAGCTGGTCTCATTGGATGCTGGGCGTGGAGGGTCTGAGGGGTTTTAGGGCACCCCAGCATTGGCCAAGGGGAGGGCCCCTGGGCGTTATGATGGCTGTGTGGCTGCTAAGCAGGCAGTTTGGAGGAGGGGCAGAGAGACGGTGTCCTTGAGAAGGCATAAACAGGTGGAAAAGGCAGTTTGAGGGAGAAGGGGTGAAGCTGCTGGAGGCCCAGGTGGGGTGGTCTTTCCTTTTCCTGCCACCGGGCGCTGGGGCCTTGAAACTCTTTCTGGTTTCCAGTTTTGTATCCAGAGATTCCATTTAAGGAGTTACTCCTGGTTCCTTGTGATGGAGCCCAGGACACAGATCTTGGTCTTGGGGTCCGGGCTGCAGAGGGCAGAAGCATGCAGTGGGAGCCGAGTCCTTGCGGCTTGTGGGGTCCCTGGCTGAGGAGTGCTTGCGTCTGGTGCGGCCCCTCACCTTGTAGAGAGTGGTTCTGTGCTCAGGCCTCAGCTAGTGGGAGAGATGGCTGCCTCTGCCCAGGCCCTGGGTCCGTCTGATGTGGTTCTGGGGAGTCATCCCAATCACGCGGAGACCAGCGAGTGAACAGGTTGTTTGTGGAGAGACAGCAGTAGGCCACAAGTCACAGGGAGCCGTGCACAAACGGGCTTCCTTGGGCCCTTTAGGGGCTCACCCAGGGGTCCCCGCCCCTCACTGGACAGCACTGCCTGCGTGGAGAGGTAGTATTTCTGTGTGTCTGAAAGCCACGAGGGCAAGGCTCAGGTTCCCTCAGACGCCTGGAAAATAGGGCAGGCTCCTGTGGCTGAGCGAGTGGCTGCAGCATGACAAGGGGGCTTTGTTCCCCGGGCCTGCCAGTGGCCCTGTGGTCGTCGAAGACGGTCCCCTAGTGTTGACGTGGGCAGGGCTGCAGCTGAGCTCTCTAGGACAGAGTGGGGCTGGGCTCAGCTCCGTGTGGCTGTTGGCATGAGGCCCCGTCCACGAGAACATGGGAAGGGTCCTGCGGAACATGGAATGGAAGTGACACACGGGCAAAGCCCCTGTAGGCGGCAGGTCCCCCACCCTTGGGAAAGGAGCAGTTTCTTGGGATTAGGACCATGAGGCAATGTGAGTGAGGAGTGGTCTTTTCTCAAGGCCACGTTGCAGTGGGGAGGTGGGCACGGGGTCGCGGGGAGGGCGTCCGGTGTCCTGCCCTGCTCCACACACCCCTCTCTCTTCCAGCGGGGATCCGACGAGCTTTTCTCTGCCTGCGTCACTAACGGACCCTTTATCATGAGCGGCAACTCGGCCTCTGCAGGTAACCCCTGAGCCCAGTCCCCAGTTCCCTGGCTGGGGGCTTCCTCCCGTACATTTGCGTGTGCTCTGCTGCTTTGGAGGACGCTTGGGATGAATTGGTCCTGGCCCTTGTGACCCGGAGCCCAGTTCATTCTCACCTGACTTCCCTGTGGACGGACAGGCGGGCGGACACCGCGCCTGGGGACTGCCTTGTCCTCGTGGTGGCCTCCCAGAGTCAGGAAGGAGGCTGGTTTTATGGGAGCCCGGACGGTGCTCTACACCCTACCAACCATTCCTCTTTTCAGCAAATGGGAACGACAGCAAAAAGTTTAAGGGTGACAACAGAAGTGCAGGCGTGCCCTCCAGAGTGATCCACATCCGGAAGCTCCCCGGCGACGTCACCGAGGGCGAGGTCATTTCCCTGGGGCTGCCCTTCGGGAAGGTCACCAATCTCCTGATGCTGAAAGGGAAAAATCAGGTACCCACCCCAGCCGTTTGAGCGCCCCTTCCCGGGAAGGCCCTGGGGTGAGGTCCTGGCTCACGCCCCTGCCCTGCCAGGCCTTCATCGAGATGAACACAGAGGAGGCCGCCAACACCATGGTGAACTACTACACTTCGGTCACGGCTGTGCTTCGAGGTCAGCCCATCTACATCCAGTTCTCCAACCACAAGGAGCTCAAGACAGACAGCTCTCCCAACCAGGCAGTGCGTCCCGGGGGCCCGGGGCAGGGGTGGAGTCGGCGAGGACGGAGCCTGGGGTGCGGACTCAGGCCCTAAGCCCCCCTCTGCCCCCACAGCGGGCCCAGGCAGCGCTGCAGGCGGTGAACTCGGTGCAGTCAGGAAACCTGGCCCTGGCCGCCTCGGCTGCCGCGGTGGACGCTGGGATGGCCATGGCCGGCCAGAGCCCAGTGCTGCGGATCATTGTGGAGAACCTTTTCTACCCGGTGACTTTGGACGTACTCCACCAGGTGAGATGACCGGGGGCGTACTTGCAGCTGCCTCAGGTCCTCGTCCAGATCACGGGGGTCACTGGGCAGAGGTTGACCGCTCCTTCTCTCGCAGATCTTCTCCAAGTTTGGCACAGTTCTGAAAATCATCACTTTCACCAAGAATAACCAGTTCCAGGCGCTGCTGCAGTATGCTGACCCCGTGAGCGCCCAGCACGCCAAGCTGGTGAGTAGGACCCTGGGATGCCCGCCTGGCCAGCACACAGGCCCCAGCCGCTCACGACCCTCTCCCCGCCCTCTCCCCGCAGTCGCTGGACGGGCAGAACATCTACAACGCCTGCTGTACGCTGCGTATCGACTTCTCCAAGCTCACCAGCCTCAACGTCAAGTACAACAACGACAAGAGTCGGGACTACACGCGCCCTGACCTGCCCTCCGGCGACAGCCAGCCCTCGCTGGACCAGACCATGGCTGCCGCCTTCGGTAAGACGCCCGGCTTGGTGCCCAGGACTGCTGCGTGCCACGGGAGGCGAGGACGTATAGCTCAGTCTCAGTGCCCCAGGCGCCCCGTGACGCCGACTCTGCCCGGGGAGGTTGGTGCGTGCTGCTCCTTGCGTGGCCAGCACAGCCCGCGGCCCAGACCGCCCGCTGGGTGTGGGGCCGCGGCCCCACGCAGCCCTCGCTCGCGGCGGAGGCGGTGGGTGCGATGATTAGTGTCTCGTTTGTTTCTAGGTGCACCTGGTATAATGTCAGCCTCCCCGTATGCAGGAGCTGGTTTCCCTCCCACCTTTGCAATTCCTCAAGCCGCAGGTACTCAAACACTTGACCTCGTCCCCGCCGTCGATTGTGCATGCCCACACACCTTTCCAGTAGCTCTGCTTCCACGGGCAGCTGACGTGGGCGCAGTCTCGGGGGGAGCCCGCCTTCCTGGGTGCAGGTCTCTGGGTTCCCTGAGGAGCCTGGACAGGGCAGTCGTAGGATAGGGTCATGCAGAGAATCCGCTAACCCCACAGTCTCTGGTCTGGTTCCCTTAAAGCACCTCCCGGGCGAGGACGAGCGCGCACGGTGGTTGGAGGGATGTGTCCTTAGTAGATGAATTTAAGTGGCCTGGTAAGCAGAGCGGCATGCGCCGAGTGGGCACACCTGAGCGCGCCCCCCCCTCCCCCGGGGGCCGGCCTGCCCTTGTGGCAGGCACGGGCCTGCTGCGTCCCGTCCGGTTGTCGTCTGCATGGTGAGGGGCGCCTGCATGCACGCATAGCCGAGGCCCGCCTGGGCCCGATTCTGCATCCACTGAGCGCAGCTTTGTACTGTTTGGCGCATGTAGGCGGGTCCAAACCCAGCACGACCTGTGCCCCGAGGAGAGGAAGGAGGAGCCGGAGAGGCTGCACCGGCCGAGAGTGGCCGCGGGCACCTCCTGCGTGCTTCCGTTGTTGCATGAGAACAGGCAGGACCTGTGCTGGCCTCTTGGCAGAGGACGCTGGGCGCTGCTGCTCCCCTCCTGACCGCCTTTCCCTCCCCAGGCCTGTCGGTTCCTAACGTGCACGGGGCCCTGGCGCCTCTGGCCATCCCGTCGGCGGCGGCGGCAGCAGCAGCGGCGGGCCGGATCGCCATCCCAGGCCTGGCAGGGGCAGGAAATTCTGTCCTGCTGGTCAGCAACCTCAACCCCGAGGTACGTGCCTCTTCCTTCCAGGCTGTGGGTCCCGGAAGCACGAGCGGGGGAGTCCCACTCTGGGGTCTTAGTGCAAACGGCAGCAGGCTGAGCTCCTGTCAGCCCCAGGCACCAGGGGTCCCTCGGGGGTCTCACCCCGGGTCGCGCTCACTGCCTCCTTCCTCAGCGCACAGAGTTCTCTTGTTCTCCTTTACGCCTTGGTTACGTCTCCAGTTCCGTAAGATGCAGAGTTGAAATGTTTTTTGATATGTGAAAGCAGTCCTTACGATTTCTAGCCCAACAAGGCGCGGTGTGAAGAGGCCCGCCGGACACCTCTGCCGAGCGGTGCTGGCCCGCAGCCGCGGTCCCGGGGATGGCGAAGCTGTGCCCATCCCCACGGCTGCGTTTGGCTCAGGGAGAGCGCTCGGGGGAGCTGACCAGGGCTCGCGGGCTTTCACTCTCGAAAGATGGGACCGGCTTTAATGAGCGTTCCAGACTGTTCTGTCGTCTGTCTGCCCCTCCTGTGACTTCCTGGCCTGAGGCGGCCGGCCGGGGGCGCGTCTGGGCCCCACTCGAGCGAAGCCCTCCACTAACAGACTCGCTCTGCCTTGTGCTTGTGTGAGCCTGGTGCGGAGGCCCACCTGCTGCGGTGAGCGGGAGGCGGCGGCCCCGGAGCCGCCCGGTGGGCCGCGTGCTCCTGCCTGTTCCGCGAGGTGAACCTGTGACTTGTAATGTGTGTAGATCTTGACTGATGGAGCGCTCGTATTTCTTATGTATTTACTGACCTATGTTTTTTTGCTACTTTTTTTCTTTTCTCCCCTTCCCCTTTCCCAATTTTTTTTCTTGCCCTGATCCGGAATTTCTTTGCCAACTGACTGCACGGTACTTCTGCTTCCTGTTGTTGCTTGAAACCAAACAAAACCATAAATAAATAAAAAAACAAAATTCCCCCTCAAACCCTGCTCTCCGGAAACCAACCTGCCCTTGAATATTAACATCCTGACAACTTCATCATCCATCAACCTGCACGCCTGTGGGGCTGCCTCCTCGTGGTGGACGATTGGCAACTCGCCCCCTGACCTCTCCCTTTCCCTGTCCCTCGCTGCCTTGCTCTGCTGTCCTCTAAAGAGAGTCACACCCCAAAGCCTCTTTATTCTTTTCGGTATGTTATCATTCACACTTTTATTATCTTGTTTTCATTTAATGGAGGTTATTTTTGACGCCCTAAGATGTACTATGAGTTTGCAGTTGGGCATTCTGCCTCGTTACATGGCTTGCCTTCGGTTTGCGTATTTACTCTGATTCCGTAGACGCATGGTTTATTGCCCTGCATGCTTTTCGAAGAGTTAAAACGTGTTGGTAGCATGCTAAAGTGATGGTTCTTGGCCATTGACCTTTCCTGGATTTTATGACTTCTCTGCTGAAGGTAGTCTTCCTGGTAACATTCCCTGTGACTAGACGCAGGTGCCCAGAGGCAGAATAAGCAAACCTTCGGGAAGAGCCAGCCCTGTGCGGGGTGTGCGGGGCGTGGGGGCTGGCGGGGGAGGCGGCAGCAGGGCCCCAGGCGGCTCAGTGCCCCTGTCCCTGCGCTCTTGAAGGCGTGTACGGCGATGTGCAGCGGGTGAAGATCTTGTTCAATAAGAAGGAGAACGCCCTGGTGCAGATGGCGGACGGGAGCCAGGCACAGCTGGGTAAGGCCCGTGGGGCGGGCGGGGGCCCCCTGGGCTGGTGCCCATGGAGCCTTGGGTCACCACGCGTCCTGCCTCCGCAGCCATGAGCCACCTCAACGGGCACAAGCTGCACGGGAAGCCGGTGCGCATCACACTGTCCAAGCACCAGAACGTGCAGTTGCCCCGCGAGGGCCAGGAGGACCAGGGTCTCACCAAGGACTATGGCAACTCCCCCCTGCACCGCTTCAAGAAGCCCGGCTCCAAGAACTTCCAGAACATCTTCCCGCCTTCGGCCACTCTGCACCTCTCCAACATCCCGTACGTGCTGGGTGGCGGGCAGGGGAGGGGTCCTGTCGGGAGTTGAGCGGCGCCTGAGGGAGAGGGAGGACCTGGCGCCTGCAGGGCCATGGTGTGCAGCTCCTCACGGGCGGCCCTCCCTGAGAAGCAACAGTGTTCAACCCCCTTCTCTCCTTCTGCCTGCAGGCCCTCCGTGTCCGAGGACGACCTGAAGATCCTCTTCTCCAGCAACGGTGGGATCGTCAAGGGGTTCAAGTTCTTCCAGTGAGTGCCGCCCGTCCCATGCCCTGCCTCGCGCTCTGTTCTGCCCCCAGGCCTGACCCCCAAGCCCGCCCTCACTCCCCTGCCCCCGTCCCCCAGGAAGGACCGCAAGATGGCGCTGATCCAGATGGGCTCGGTGGAGGAGGCCATCCAGGCGCTCATCGACCTGCACAACCACGACCTGGGCGAGAACCATCACCTGCGGGTCTCCTTCTCCAAGTCCACCATCTAGGGCCGCCGTGGACCAGCCTGCCGGCGCCCGGCCACAACTTCCATCATTCCAGAGAAAAGCCACTTTAAAAAGCAGCTGAAGTGACCTTAAAAGACCAGAGATTTTATTTTTTTAAAAGAGAAATCAGTTTACCTGTTTTTAAAAAAATTAAATCCAATTCACCTTGCTCACCCTGGGGAGATGGGGTGCCGGCCTCAGGCTCTTGGTGACGAGTGGACAGTGTGCCCCACTCCCTCCCCAGCCCCCCAAGCCCGTGCCTTCTGCAGCCTCTGTGGGGTGGGCGCTCCCAAACCTCGACTCGGCTTTCTTGTGCCTTAAAACCCGCTGCTCTGGCAGGGCCCTCTCGCGGCAGCAGACGCGTGGGCGGGGGGGCTGGGGGCCGGTGGGTGGGCCTCCCGCATGGGATCATGTGCCTGGTGCAGCGGGAGGCTGTGAGCTGCAGGGTCCAGCCGGCACCCCCAATCCGTTTAATCAAGTGTGTGATTCGCCCCTAACCTGGGGCAAGCCCCCGAGGGCACCATCCCTGTCCTCCTTCAGCTCCGAGCTCTCTGTCCACCGTAAGCTCTGTATTAGGCTTCGATGCAGTTGCAGACACCCGTGCCTAGCAATACTTCCAGTTGACCAAATATTCTAATCTCTCTTCATTTATATGCAAAAGACATAGTTTTAAGTAACTTTTTATATAGCAAGATAAAAATGGTATGAGTGTAATCTCCATTTCCTCCTTGTGGTATGACCTTGCATACTGTACTTTTCTATTTTATTCCTTGTAATGAAGTCGCAGGGCAGGACCTAGTTTCCAGGGCGGCCGGCTGGGGGCCAGCGCAGGGGAGCCTGGTCCTTCCCGAGGACACCTCCAGATGCCTTACTCACACCTAACCTGTCCTCCCTCTGGGGGGACGAGCGCTCTTAAAACTTTCAGGGTTTCCGCTCTCCTGCAGATTTTGGACCAAAGTTTTGTTTTTTTTTTTGTCTGCCTCTAACGCTGGGGCCCGGAAAGTGGGACAGCGGCCCCCGAGTCTTAACTGTCTCCCGCACATCGTCCTGCGCTCAGGGTCCACGGGGCTCCCCTGTGAGCAGACCGTGTGCTGGCCAGCCCCTCCCTCGGGCCTGGACCCTCGAGTTTCCGTGTTGGGGTGGAACAAGGGTGTAAATATTTATAATTTTTTTTATACCTGTTGTAAAACGAGGGGCAGCAAACATGGTTTTTTATAAAGGTGACACAGATGTATATTTTGGTAACCCGCAGTTACAGGCTCAGTATTGTGAGGGGGACGCGGCACATTCCATTGCCCACCCTACGGCTTGTAATGCAGAGAGAACCGAATTAAAGCGATTTTACAACTCGACGTTTTCTGTAGGCTCTTTCTTCCTGCTCACATTGTAGAGGCCCCCGGCCAGTCTGCTGGACTTTGGAATAAATGTCTCTGCACCCTGCACTCGATTTCCTCTTTATTCCGCCTGTTCGTCTTCACTGCTGTTTCCTCTTCCGTGTGAATTGAGCGTTTTGTCTCCCTCACCGGTGACGGGGGCGGGTGGGCTCAGGGGAGCCGAGAATGTGGGACCCGGCCCCCCCCCCCAGTGTAGGACGCCCCCCTCCCCACCCCCGCCGGGCAGTGGGCGTGTCCTCGGACCAGTGACTCACAGGACTC